TAGGAAGTCTATAATATGTCTCATATTAGAACAATCTAATGTGAATACAAAAATTTGGGCTTAACCCATACTTAATTACAACTAAGCGCCTCATATAGGCTGATATAACGATCGTCTTCAAATAAAAAGAAATGAACCAAAAGTCTTTTAACTAGAACAACATCAATAGTTTGTTAATGGCAACTTCCTCAGAAGGTGAGTACATACGAAACACTTTGGGAATATCAAAGTATTCTTCAAAGGCCTTCTATAAGCTAAATGTACGGACCCTACATTTCGTTGTAAACATAACACATGGGTTAGTACACACTTTTACTAAGTATGAGTATATACACCTAAATCATTTAAAATCGTGCTAAAGAGGACATTTGTTCAAACATGCTAATTTTCGTTGAAAAGCCTCATGAACATACAAGACCCTATATAAATCAATGAACACATAACTCTTAAGTCAAGTACATATACAACACAATACCAACATCATCAAGTATAGTCAAGTCAACATATATAAGAAATGATAACATCATAGTATCAACTCCTTACCCATAACCGATCATTTATCCTACAAGTGCAATGACCAAGTAAAGCTGCATAACCATACATAGTTAATAAAACCAAACAAAGGACTATAAGCAATGCCTAACTTCTCATAACATAACATCAAGAGTAACTTTCCTCAAACTTTAGCAATATATACCAACAAAGTGTTCATAAGTGGAACTAACATCACAGAGAATCAATAACATGTAAAGTCAACATAGCCACAGTAGTCACTTTATAAAAGCATAAGTACATAAGAACAACCTCCTAAGGCTTCCCTCAAGGGAAACTTGTGCAAGGCATAGGTAAAGTACCATACCCCTACCTAGGCTAAGTTAAACCTCTTATGTCACCCTATTTATTGTTTTCTTGATTACTTCAATTTAGTTTCGGTAACACTTTCCTTAACCGACATAGACCACAAGATCTAAGTGAAGAATTTGGTGCTGTAAAACCTTACACCGTTGGAAGGTGGTCTACCGACAAAAGTAGTACAAACTAATGAACATACCATCTATGTGGATCCACAAGCTAGTATTCCTATGGTGGAAACATAGTTTATGGATCTTGAGGGATATCATGGAAATATAACTATATGTCCTTTTTGGACAATGAGGCTATCCACCACATGAGAACAATGGTGAACCCTATCTTCCCTCTTTTAGAAGGCGCCATCGCTCACTTACAATTTCACTCCTTGCTAAGATAGAGTCCCATTTGAAATGTCATTAATCCTTTATAAGTCATCATTGCTTAATTTTGGTTAAGGGGTCTAATACCTTGTATAGTCATTTTCATTATCTCATTAGTATTTGCATTGAATTATTGTTTCATGGCAACCCTCATATGTGAGACTAGCATAACATCATTATCGTGTCATAATAAGGCACATAGGTAATTCACAAGAAACCTTACACCCCTTCATCTTAAACATAATCTAATAATCACATAATCAATATATTTCATTCAACATCATACCAACACCTACTTAGGCTAATCACAATTCATGCTTCAATAAAACTACATCATCAATCACAAGCCATTATAATTGAAGTAAATATTAGGATCTGAAATACTTACTTAATCCCCTTCAATAGCCATCATCATGGTGTTACCATCAATAAACCAATTACATCCAACAATATTTGTAGTAACATCAATATATAATAATTAACACAAGAAGTATGTAAATTGCATCATCATTATTAAATTAACATCAACTCATAACCCGGGGTTAAGGGAAATAGGGTTCATCATGAATTCCAAAGGAATTTGATCCAATGCCAACAATACCTTACCCTAATCAATCAATGCATGAATTAGAATAGATAAACAAGTCTAATGATCAATTCATACTTCAATTCCCCTCAATTGATAATCAATATCCATGATTTGGGGAATATAAAATGATCGATATGAAGTTGCATCAATTGACATCTAGTAACAAACAATATACACATTATTTGTCATAGGAAATCACAATTTATCATCAATTCGAAGTTTAGAAGCACTTAATTAGTCATAGGCAATCATAATTTGTCATCAATTTGATGTTTAGAAGAAAACCCATTATATTTGAAAAACCCACTGGAATTGGGTGATTTAGAAATAAACTTTGAAAAGAAATCTTGGGGAAAGGAATCTAAAGAGTGAATAACCAATACCTTAATGAAGATTAATACAAGAAATTCAATTTAAATCCAAGAAGAATTTGTCTTCTTCTTAAAGCTTTCTTCTTCCTTCAACGAAGGTTTAATAGAGAGAAAAAGTAGAGAGAGGTGAAAGCTTTTGGCCTTTGATTTGGGAATTTTATTTTATTGAGTTAATGTGAGGATAAAATGATTTAAAATCAGTATAAATACCTCCCATGAAATTCCCAAAAGAACCCTCAATAAAGTTGACCCTTTAGTGAAGTCAATCTTTATTTTGAATTTGCAGATTATCGTCAGGAATAGGTACGCGACGTGGAGCTGCTTCTGTAAGATTTTCTAAATTAATTTTTTGATATAGTGTAGTCCACGACCTGACAATGACGCAGACTTCAAATTTGACCAAGGGACATCAAAGTACAAGACGCGAACTTGTTTCTCCTATGTATAATTTTGCTGCTTCCTTGGCAGCTTGCCAACCCATGTTTGGGGTCCTTTCATGGATCCCTAGGGTGACTCTTGGGAGGCTGTACCTGGACGTTTTCACTCTTTGTACTAGGTTTTACATATTTAAAGACATTTTAAAAGTTTTATACCTTATACAACACCTTTAAACCCTTCCCAAACCTAAGGACGTTTGACCAGTAAAATTAAACTAGCTTCAAACGTCATGGACGTTCCTTGATGTCTTAAATCCAAAACTTCCTAAATGGTTTATAAACATTATTTTAGGCCTTATGAAAGTTTTAATATCCTTACGTGAACGTGATAGGGTCTAGTTAAGTTCATAGATTTTGAAGTGTTACATGGTCCACCAAGATCCAAAATCTTCGTTTGCGACGTGGACACGTAGTGGACTCGTCTGGTTCAAAAATTATTATTGAAAATTATATGGGAGCAGAATTGTTCCCCAACAAAAATCCAAAATTAACAATTCGAGTTTGATTTCATTAAAAGGTCAATTTAAGTGAGGGGTCTTTTGGTATTTTAGGGGAGGGTTATATTTTTATTTTAAATAGATTTCAACACAATTTCCCAAAAAAAGCAAATCTGTAAATCAAACTTAACAACTCTTACCTCTCTCTACTCTTTTTCTTCATTCACGCTCCATTGAATAAGCTTTGAAGGATGAAGAATAAGACCAAATCCTTCAAGTTTCTACTCAAACTTCTTGATTGGTCATCTATAGGGTATGGTTTCTTTCGCTCTTAGTATTATTTTCCCCAAGAGGTTTCTCCAAAAGATTATTTCTCAATCTCACAAAACTAGGGTTTTTCTTCTCTCATGGGTTTTCGTTGAAAATGAAATTGTGAATCAATTGTGTTGAATTATGAAAATTTATTCGGATGGTTAATTGATGATTTCCTATGAGTTTCCCTTGACCCATGTGTTTCCCCTAATTTCATGAAAACCATGAATTTATATCTAGAATTGTGAAGATGATGAACGTGTAGATTGATTACATTTTTGTAAATTACGTAATTGCTTCGTTAATTTGCCTTGTTTATGTAATTGGTTATGTATTCATGGTAATGAGAGTTTGAAGGTTTTGGAAGGGACAAAGAGATATGTTGATTGGTTCATCTTAGATTCAATTGTGAATTTATCAGTTACTTAGGTATCAATACTTCAAGTCTAATCTGTGGTTGTGATGTTGATGCTAAGTATTCCTCATCCCTAATTAATGAAATTGAATTAAACATATACTATTTATGCAGGTTATAATAGGATTATTATATTATTGAAAGTAGTTTCTCATTATTATAATAAAGTGTTAAGTTAAATGTTTACTCACTTGTGAAGTAGTGTCTAAAGTGAAAGGATTGTTCTCACTTGTGATGACCTATAAGCTAGATATGATAAGATGTTTGCTTAGGGGTATAGAATAGACTAATGAGAACTTTTATGATGAAATAATATTATTACTAAAGGGAATAATTTCTTAGCACCGAAATGGCATGTAAATGAGATGGAGATCCTATATTTAGTAAGTTCGGCCTCTTAAATGGGTATCTTCATGTTTAGAGTGTCTAAATTACCTAGATATGTGTTTTCTCATGAGATAGAAACCTCCACGTTTGTAAAGTCATGGTCTCTTTTAACAATATCATTAACCCTTAACCCTTAACTATGTGACCACATAGGACTCTATCTTAGTGGATCTATCTAGTTAGCTACGTACAAATGGTTACACCTTACGCAAGTGTTTATCCTCTCTTTTTGGAGTGGGAGTAGAACACTGGATTCCATGTAGCTCACATAGTATCATGTAGGTTATTGCACTTCTTTCCCTAATGTAAAAAGCAAATGAATAAGCTAATTCTGTGAATATTTATTAGGGTTGTCATGAAGGTTTCTATATGGTGTAAGGGAGGGTATGGGACTTTTCTTGCACATTGAACTTGTGGGGTCCTAACAGATGATCCTAGTAGTGTTCATTATAATTATGATTATGATTAGGTTAATCAGCTATGAGTTATATTGATGTATTAAGCATGTTATGATGAATAATGAGAATATGTTTCAAGTGTGATGTGAGTTGCTTAATGTGATACTTAGTCTTCCATAAGGTTGTGGGGTTATATTTTTTGAATTGCAAAAGTATAAGTTAGGTGGTGTACATGTTGGGTTGCTATTATGATAATTAACTTTTTATGCTTACTGTATGTGCATGTTCAGTTAAATTGATAGAAAACATGATTTTTACTAAAATGTCATTTTCTCATGCATTGATAATTTATTACATTGAAGACATACTTAGTATGTGTGATGTACTAAGCCATATTTCTCTTTTTTTCATAAACATTTGAGGTTCGGGGCTTTGAGAGATTCGTGGTCGATATCAAGAAAGACTTGGGTCTTTTCCTTAGTCATTGGTGAGTCCTCATGTTTGGGGATGTTTCAATATTCAAACCTAGGTATGATGTTTCTTTTGTTTAAAATAATTCATTTTTTCTTTTATCATTGAGACAATTGATGTAAGCCTATAATGGCGTATTATTCTTGTATTGGCTATGTCCAAATATTTGTAAACTTGTAGATAGTTTATATGTGAAATTAGACTTTAGACTCCTATATGTTTTATTTATGCTAAAAAAGAGGTCTAAGGAAATTTCATATGTGAGGAGCATATTTAAACTCTATATACAATATGCATGAAGTCTAATTACACTTCACTACGTAATGTTTTTAAATTTTTCAAAATTTTTTAGCTATGGTGTACTATGATATATGCTAAGGGCTTGTGTAAGTCCTCATTGAGGACAAGGACACCAGATACTGCTAAGGGTTACTTTCAGTTTTCTCGAATTAATGTATGGTAGTTCATACTTCATTCTTGTTTCATTCAAGGAGCCAATCCAAAGGCTTTTCAAAAAAGGTTTGTAATTTCTAAATTCTTCTATTTTTGATTATAAGCATGGGTCTTTTTATGAAAAGATTTGAAAACATGGATTATTTTGTTTTCAATATAATGTGATGATTATATGATCAAAAACTCAATGGACCCATGAACATGCAAATTCTGAAACTTTGACTTCTGAATTTGATTTGATTAATATGATTAGATAATGTTAGAGTTGTGATTTCCTTCTATTGCATTGTAATTATGTACTGCCATATTGACTTATTATGATGATTTAATTGGAGGGTTGATAGTTTGTGGTAATGGCTTCGATAAAGAGTAAGTTGATCTATTCCTTTAAGTTCTCATTGAACGGAACTTGAGTTTTATGGTCCACTTGTGGTGGCAGTGTTTACTTGATGTTTATGATTATATATATGTGAATTGTTATTATGGACTTAAGGGTATTGAGTGTGAAGTAATGGGATGTGATGATGAATATGGTTGGATTTTGTTATGTAGTTTACAATGTGTGATGAAGTTACTACGTACGAATGAAGTATAATGTGAATGCTAAGAGTTATATTGTGCGAATTATGATGAATGTAGTATAACCATGTTTAGAAGTCAATATTATGAATAATGATGAATATATGAAAGGTTTTCTCACATGTACTCACACACACGCTATGAATGAATGAACGGAGTTAATGAGTGAAAATGGGGGTTTATAGGGTAGACATTGTCCGTGAGGTGAGATAAGTGTCTAGTACCATCCCTATAATTCTTAAGAACTCTAGTTAATAAAAGGCTTTTTTTGGGATGAACACTCTTCGCGAGTTGAGATGAAATTATAAGTAGCAACCTCACTATTCCAAAGATCTTCCCAAAGATAGGTTCGAGGATGCATACTCATCTTGAGTTCAGATGTGGTATTCAAAAGTAACCACTAAGGATAATTACTCTTTTTTAGATTAGGTGTAGTACTAAATAGATATCACTTTAACCTATAGTGAATGAATGTAATTAAGACTCCGTGGCATAGTTATGCTTAGCACAGAGAGGATTTCAGGAAGGGTGGATACTCTTTGTGAGTAGAGAGGTTTTATCCAATGTACCTCTTGAGATGGGTGCTCTTCGTTAATTGAAGTGAGGTACTTAGAATAAATCCCTTATACATTAGCTATGCACTTTCGTGGGTAAAGATATTGTATATCCATGTAAAGTCTAAAAGAGAGTGACCCTACCTTAAGAATGTAGGGATCCCTCATCCTGTAGGAAATAGTACAGGGATTCTATGTCTAGCTATCTTGGTCTATGTTGGTTAAAGCTATCCACCACAAATTAATGTAAATGAAATAAATATTCTTAAGGGTGTACTAATTAGGGTAGGTGGTGAAACGAGACGTCATCTATCCATGGCAAAAGAATACAATTGGAGGGAGTCTTGGCGTTTCCTTATAAACAAAATGTATGACAAGATAACTATATGAAGTTAATCAAGCAATTTCGCTTTGTCTAATGTTAAAGAAGTATGTTGAGGTTTTTTTTAATATGATTAAATATATGAAATGATTGAATGTGATGTGATCAATCTAGGGTGATTCCTAAGGAGCACTACGGTAGGAGTAGTAGTATAGGATGATACTTCCCAATGCACTAGTGTCACTTGTGGGTTGTCATGGAGGACGTTCTTTATGTGAAGTTCATAAATGTATATATGGTTTCTCTACTATATTTAGTAATGAATTTTGAGTTGCTGAATTGAAATGAATCAATATTTTCTTTAGTATTCTTAAGGATCACTTGGGTTTGTATTGAAGAACTAGTAAGACGATCTCATTTTGTCTTATATAGGAGATACATGGTTAAATTTTTATAGGAAGGTCTATAGATGAATGTTGAAGTTCATGAAAATATTATTTGTATTATAAATGATGACTTGTATGACACTTTGTAAATTTGATTCATAAAGGTTTTATCAAAATAACATGAAAAGTATGCTTCAACTAAGAAATGTTTGTACTAACTCCATATTCATCTTTATTTTTGTAAGTATAGGTTATAGGCTAGTGAAGGTTATTAGAAGGCAAAGCTTGGAAAGTTGATTCTCTCAAGATTGGTATGTCTTCATATGTTCGAAAACATGATCTATGTACTACCCCCGTAGACGTTACCTGCGTAGTCGACCCCGAAGGTGTCTTATACAATAGCATAAATGTCAATGCATAATGAACTTGAAATAATGCAAAAATTTCAAACCTTTCACAATAGGAGTTCAACTTTCTTTTTATAAAGCAAAATACTAAAAATCTTATACCATTGTAACGCATACACCATCTACTAATACAAGTTAATCATAACTCTTCAAATATGGTTTTTTGGCCATTAGACATACTATTATATTAGAACAAAAGTTCATAAATAAGACTATTAAGTCTGTTTAATCAATAGAGAAATCATAAAGTGGCATGAAGTTTATTAGTCCTCGAAATCATTGAGGACCTTCCACAATTCTTGGAGATATGAAGTCCAAGATTTCTTCAAGGATGTAGGAGAAATCAATTAGCCGGAACCTATACACATAATAGAAAAGGGAGAAAGGGGTTAGTAATTAATGCACCAATTGTGGATAAATACATAAAAACAATTAAAACATGAGAAAGGGACATTTACATGTAAAGTATGCAATTATGAGGTTTTTGAAAGCGATTTAAATATTCAAGATAACACATAAGACAATATTCGAATAATGTCCAAACTATAATGAAGGCATGACCTTAGTACTTCTAAGGTTCCACTTGTGCAATGTAGAGGTAACATTCCATACTGCCAACCGTACCAAGCATTCCCATAGAAACAACTTTTACAACATATATTACATTTATATTCATTTTGTTAGACATCATATCATAATCATTTCGTAATTATAAAGAACCACCAACAACAACATCTTAATATTACTAGTGCAGTGTACAAGCGAAGTCTCATACCCCAACTTCTACTAAGTAAACTCATCAGAATGTCATAGACTAGTTCATACTTGTTCATTATTTAAATATTTTATTACTTTGGGGAAGATAACCATAAACGATAGAGAGCATGAGAGCTTTCATGGAATCCATTTTCATAAAGCATGTAACTACATGAGAACACCCCTAAGTCGTATCACAACTTATTTGACTTATTAGAGGTCTTACAAAATTCCTTAGATATCATTCATCGAATTAATTTATGTATATAAATCTTTTCACAACAACAGTTCAAATCTATTTCATAAAAAACATATGAAATTCTAAATCTATTTGTAGACATCTTAGATACATGAATATATTGTGTCACATCATGTACTTCAATGAAATGGGAATACTAAAGTCTATTACAATATTATTTGAAAAGAAAAGATAAACATATTTATGTCGTCGAATCATGTATACACATACAAAGACTTGCTGAAGAGAATGCTATTCCAAGATTCCAAGAGACTCCTCTCAATTGCCACCAACACCGATAGAGATAAAAAGCCATATGAAATTAGTACATAGATTGCACAAAGTATGGTTACATGCAATAAAGCCATGCTAAAATGGAAATTTAATTAAACATGCTCTTTTGAAGAAAACTTTATGAAGTAAGTATAAGAACCACTTTCAACACAAACGTCATATATACAAAACTTTTAAAGTAATCCACAATACAAAATTGACATCACCTCAAACATAGAAGAATATAACCCTCTTACCAAAGGTTATATTAAGACTTACTCGAGTAAGACAAGAAGATACCGCCCATACCCCCTTGTCAAAAACACCAAAATAATCCTTAAGTCTACCTAAAGTAAGATTTTCTCCTTTTCATCATATAGAATTTCTACCCAATATAACTCTAAGAGTCACTTGAGTATGACATAAAGATACCGCTAATACCCACTCTTCAAGTCTAACAAGGAAATCCTCAAAGATACACAAGTTAGAGATCCTTTTATTCGACCTACATTGACTTAAATCATAATCATTCATTAAGTAAATTAATATACCATTGAACATTTAGTGGACTTCACATTTTGTCTTAGAAAATACCTAGGGAAACCACATCATATTATATTGAAAGACTACTCGTGCCATGTCTACATAGCGTCCCCTTCTACTACCTAAACGTTATAAAACATCTTTAAACTAGTATTCATCACACATGATGAGAATAGGGATTTACTGACATAGATTATATAATCTAGGAATTGAATTCGGAGTCAACACTACTCTGATGGAGGGTGTTCTACTTTCCAACTGTAGAACTTGGAAATATCCCATGTAGGCAAGTAATTACCAAATATAAGGGGTTTCTTTGTACTCTAGTCTCAACTTAAGTAGAGTCACTACCCAAGCATTTTTTCTCAGTTCTAGCCTTAGTTCCCATAGACTATGTTTAATCATAAAAGGTATAAGAAAAGTCAACACTTTATAGTTTTGCCAAAACAGAACACCTCAAACAAAGATGGGTCCTCTAAAGCTTCCACTCAATGGTTAAAAGTATAGCTCAATGACTTGCTCAGAGATGATTTCATGCCTTCCCAGGAAACCTATCCCGAAGTCCATCTTCACACATGAAGGATACCATTATGACTTTCAACTTCAAAGATATCCTAACCTTTTTTCCTATATTGAAAGTTCTAAGCTATTGACCCTCTTTACATGTTCACAGTCATTTACTTGTCATACTTAGAAGGGTACTATCTTAGGTCTTCCGATCCTAGAATTTTATTCAACATTCACTC